ATACCAGCCTGGTGGCGGCACAGATGTCCAACCCTGCAGAGCCCCTGGTTGCCCTTCGGGTTTCTGAGGTGGCTGCTCTGCCTGATCTTGCAATGCCCCATACATTTGAGGGTCCTGGGGACGTGGGCCCCTCTTGTCGTTTGTTGAACCTGGTGGATTAGTAATGGGCCGGCCAGAATCTGATGGATTAGTAATGGGCCGGCCATTGATGTCTTTCACTGACCGGCATTCATTTCCCCAATGCCTCCCCTTTTTGCATCTCGGACAGAGGCCTGGTTGATGTCCTCCACCTCCCTGCCTCCCTTCTCCATTCGGACATGTTTTTCTTATATGACCCGGCTGGCCACATTTAAAACAGACTCCTGGCCTATTGCCAGACATCCGGGCAGCAGGCAAAACAGCAGCTGCCAGTCCAGAATTAGTCAATGGCCCTCCTATTTCCCTGCAAGCTTTCATCCATGCTTGGAGTCCTTTTCCTTTCCAGGGGGTGATTGCTCTCCTACATTCTTTGGTACATTGTTCATAGACGAGTTGCTCTACTAAGGGCATACACTGGTCCATGTCGCTAAATACTCTTCCTGCTGCCTCCATCATTCGAGCAACAAAGTCTGAAAATGGCTCTGCTCGTCCTTGTATTATCTTGGTTAAATTACCCGACACTTGGCCCCTGTTAGGCAGGGTTTTCCAGGCTCGTATGGCTATTTCATTAATTTGTTGGTAAACTTGAATAGGAAACACGGTCTGATTGTTTATCCACTGTCCCTGACCTAGTAACATGTCTGCCGTCCAGGCAGCATTGCCGTTATCTGCATTAACACGGGCCTGTGCATAAGCATAGTCGGTATAAATGGACCTGAAGTCCAAGTATTGGCCTAAAGTAACACACGCCTTAACAGTACTCATCCAATCGGCAGGTGTCATTGCCGATTGTCCTAGGCGCTCTACAAGTCCGAGCGTGAAGCTCGCAGACACTCCATAAGTCTGTGTGGCCTCAGCCAAGTCTTTCAACTGTTTATAAGCAACTGGCTCATGAAACCTCTGCCCTGTGTTGGGATCCTGAAAGACGGGGAACGCAGCAGCCAATCGGCTCCATGTGCCAGGCTTAATGAAGGAAGCTGACGTGGCAGGAGGTGCCGTTGGGCCACTCCTGGTACCACTAGCTCTAGGTGAATCATATGGCGGAGGCTTAGTACGCTCCGGACTACACTGTCCCCGTTCATACTGAACTGCAGCTTCCTCTAGATCTTCCTCTAGACCTTCCTCCTCCACCTCTAATTGGTCCTCATCCTCGGAGGACTCATCTATACAAAATTGAGGAAATTCCTCCAAGAGTGGATACCGCGTATCCTCTAGCTCCCTGTCTTTCTCTGAAGCTTTCTCTTCCCTCTTCCGAGAGCTCTTGTCGCCCTCCCTTTTCCGAGAGCTTTTGTCGCCCTCCTTTAGGCCTATGTTTTTTGTGTTCTCCTGTCATTTCTTCCTTGGTATCTAGCTCCGACATGCTATCCTGGTAGTCTGAAAGCGCTCTTTTGCCTTCTTTTACTGCCTCGATGCATTTCCCGTCCCGCAAACAGGCTCGTACCAATTTCCATAATGGATGACTTCCCGGCCGAAGCTTACCCTCTGCCTTTGCTGTCTCGAGGGCCCTACCTAGCTTGTTCCAGCAGGGGAGATTGATGTCCCCCAAACCTCCAAACCATGGTGCTACTCGATCCACATCCTCCAAAAACTTTCTTACGGTACCCTCGGAGATTTTTAGATCTCGGTCCCTAAGCAGCCTCTGGATAGGGCGCGAGAAAGGCGCCATGCCAGCGGGTCCAGATGCTACATTTCCCATGCTGTACGTTATCTGCACACCTTATGCACGAGTTGAAATGCCTACCTATCTACACCGGGCTTACTTTCAGTTTCACTTACTGCCGGTCCCAGCAAATACACTCTTGACCGGCTCTATGAAAACGTGGAAAAAAGGCAATGGGTCAGCACCAAGACGACCATACCCCGAATGACAGGGGCTCCCCAGAGCGGATTCACTCCTCCACTCAGCACGTCAGAAGTAATACTCACGGAGAACTCACCGGCGCCGCCGCTCCGAGCGTCTAAGTTCTGAATCCTCCTGCTTCCGCAGGGGTCTCTGCCTGATGCCGTGATGGAAGTCCCGGGGTTCGGCACCACTTGCAGCACGCCGGTACTGCCAGCAGAAGAGACGACTGCAACAGGATCCTTCTCAGAATGCCCTTTATTGGAGCACTTACACTTGAGGTTTGAAAGAGGCAAGAAGACCCCGTCCCCGTGGAAGCAGAAGAATATATACGGTGCCAGACAAAGCCCTGACATGTCATCAACCCAATGGCTCAGGCCAGAATGGAGCGATAAACGTGTTAAATAATGACTGGCCAGATCGGATGGCCAGATCGAAAGACTCCCCGCGCTGGAGGGGGGAGCTTGTGCGCATGCGCACAAGTTCTCTCAAGTTTGACGTGGAACAGCAAACGGTGCCCAGGCTCCGTGCCCACGACATGACAGCGCCATGGTGCACGCTACATCTGACAGCGCCGTGGTGCGCGCTACATTTGTGTAGCCGGGCAGTGGTGGCACATGTCTTTAATCCTAGTACTCCGGAGGCAGAGGCAGGCAGGTCTCTGAGTTCAAGGCCAGCCTGGTCTACAGAGTTAGCTCAGAGACAGTCAGGACTACATAGAGAAACCCTGTCTCAAAAGAAAAAATTAAGAATTTGTTCGTTAAAGCAAGCTTTAACGGTTGAAAAAGGGTTCTGCCTTTTTCTTTTTACAGTACTCTTTGTAGAGCTATAATATTCTCCTCCTCCTCCTTCCTCTTCCTCATGTTTTTTACAGTGCTGGTACCCAAACCCAAGGCCTCATGCACACTAGATAAGTGCCCTGCCATCCTGAGCTCTATCCCCAGCTCTGTGTTGATTTCAATTACAAGTTTTGAGTTTGTTTATTTCTGTTTTGTTTTGTTTGTTTTTCTCAAGACAGAGTTTCTCTATGTAACAGCCCAGGCTGTCCTGGAATTCATTCTGTAGACCAGGTTGACCTAAAACTGACAGAGCTCCACCTGCCTCTGCCTCTCGAGTGCTGGCATTAAAGGTGTGTGCCACCACTCCTGGCTCAATCACAACTATTTAACTTTTTTTTTCTAAGTGAAATAGGAAGGTATGGGGTGCATACATGCCTGTAATTCCAGTGCTACAGAGACTGATACAGGAGGATTGTTGTAAATTCAAGCCTAGCTGGAGCTACACCAGTGAGTACCAAACCAGCCAATGCTACATAATGAGACCCTGTCTTCAAGTGGGAAAAGGCAAAACAATTAGAATCTACATAAGTAGTTTCTTAAAATATTTAAAAATATAAGTCTTGTCTTCATGAGGCTTGAAGGTGAGGATGGGCAAAGAGGTCCACAGACTCTTGTGTCCTTCACAGGGCACATGTCTCTAGCCACATTGTCATTCTAGACTAACTCTTTATTCTCCTAATTTAAAATGTTTCTGTTTTAGTGGGAGGAGTCACAGATGTGTGCCTGTGCAGAGGCCAGAGGAGGTTACAAGGTGTCTTCTACTCTACCTCTCTCTCTTCTCTGAAGATGGAGTCGTTTACTAAACCTGAAGATTTGTACTTCTTCACTTCTGCAGGGCTTGCTGCCCAGTGAGCTTCTGACCTCACAAGGCTGGGGTCACAGGTGTGTGGCTATGCTCAGGATTTTATCACATGGGTGCTGGGAATTCTAACCCAGGACCTCATGTTTGCACAGCAAGCCTGCTTCTCTCCTGAGCTGTTCTCCCAGTCACTGGACCGAGTCCACTCCTGGATGAGCCTTTGCCACTCTGTGACGGGTCATCTGATGCGTGAAGACATGGGTCAGCAAGGGGGCACTTTTCTCTGGTTAAATGTGGGGGTTTTGTTTGTTTGTTGTTTCATTTTTAAATCTAGGACTGGGAGGGCTTTTAGTCTGGGCCCTCAGGAAACATCAAAAGAACAATGAAGCTCAGTTTTATCAGTTACTGAACATAACTGCTTAGGACACTGGGTAATCTTAGTACAGTATTCTGTTTTTCAAACTATTTTTGTTTTATGTTCATAAGTGTTTTGCCTACATCTATGTATTTATGTATGTATGTGCATTGCACGTGTGTTTTGTGCCCCCACAGGGGCCAGAAGATGGTGCTGAATACCCTGACACTGGAGTTAAGGAGATTGTAAGTGACCATGTGGATGCTGGGAACCGAACCCAGGACCACAGCAAAAGCAGCAAGCACTCTTAACTGCTAAACTTCTCTCCAGCCCCTACCCCTACCCCACCCTGGTGTAATATTATTGAGTTGTCTACTCTTGAAAATGTTCCTGCCTCAGGCACTCAAAGGGAATGCTGTTGTTCTGAAAAAAATGCTTAGAGGCTTCAAACATGTTTGGAAATGGAAAGAGGAGGTCTAAGCAATATCAGTGAGGACACATCTCACTAAGACCAGGCTGGCTTCAAACTCCTTCTGTCGTAGAGGATCTCTCTACCATCCCCTCCCCAGCAGCCCTGGGATTACAGGTGCCACCACCATTCGGGTTTTAGGAGGTACTGGAACAGCGTGCCTCCTGCATGCTGGGCAAAGACTCCAACTGAGTTACCCGAGCCTCTCCCAATCCTCCCCCCCCCCCCCCCCAGTCCTAAGAGGATAAATTTCATTAAGTCACCAAGTTTGTTGCATTTGTTACAGCGGCCCAGCTAAGCAATACAAAGTACTCTCAACTTTCTCCTTAGTAAGTCCAGCTGGAGCCTGGTGTGCAGCCACAATACATAAGGGATCCTAGGCCTGAAACGTTGTTACAAAAATATGCCAAGCAAACAAACAAAAGATCTGCTGTCTGGGTTTCTTTGATGCTACCCCAGTGGATTGCTGCGGGCCTTCACACTTAAAGCCGCAGTACTGTAGCTGTTCTTCGCTATTCGTGTGTGTACATTCCTTCTCCATTGAGGATGGAGTTGATCTCTTCAGGGAAACGCTGAGGCTACGCTTGCATGCTCGCAGTAGGGGCCCTGCCCCTTACTCATGACTCTTTCGAAGCCCTGTCCGGGATCTTTTCTGGGACTGCATGGATGAGGCATGTCTCCCGGTCTGGATCGGTGGATATTGGGTCTGTTCCCGAGCGGCCGAGACAGTGTCCAGGTTGATGTTGGCGCGGCCGCTCAGGCCCCGCGCCCCCAGCCCGCGTCTGCGGCTGCGCGGCCGGCCCGGGAGGGGGCGCGGCGGGCGGCTGGGAGCGGGGCCGCGAGCGGCATGTCTCGCTACACCAGGCCCCCCAACACCTCCCTGTTCGTCAGGAACGTCGCCGACGCCACTAGGTGAGCCAAGACGGGACCCCGCGGGAGTACGGGTCGGGATGGAGGGGTGTCTGGGTGCGGGCTGGGTGGTGGGCTGTCCCATGCCGGCCGGGTGCCTCGGTGCCCGGCTGCAGGCTGTCGGGGTGCCAGCTGGGTGTCGGGGTACCAGTGGGTGTTGGCGTGCTGGCCGGGTGTTGGAGTCATGGACAGGTGTCCGTGTACCGAACTACGGGGTGTACGGGCATTGGGGTGCTGACCAGGTGTTGGGGTGCTGTCATGATGACAGGATGCTGGCCGAGGTGCAGGCCGTGGTGGCAGTGCATGCTCAGGCCCTGTTGTCACTGCGTCCTGCAGACGCCGCCCACTAACCTTCCGGAGTAACTGGGGCTGTCTCATCTCAGGATGCGCACCTTAGGCCTTGCAATTTCCTCTGCGCTGTTCAGGCAGTGCTGACGGCCCAAATTTAATATACGAGGCCAGCCTGGTCTACAAAGCGAGCTCCAGGACAGCCAAAGCTGTTTCACAGAGAAACCCTGTCTTGAAAAGCCAACACACGCACACACACACACACACACACACACACACACACACACACGACTAGTCGATTATCTGATGTATATTTTTCTTGTTTTTCTTTGAGTGCTGGAGACAGTCTTAGCCCTTCATCTTGGTTAAGTTGTCAGTTTCAATCCTGGGAGTCTGTCTCCTGCAGCCCTCATTGAAAATCTAGAGGATTGTCAAGCATAGAGCTTAAGAAATGTCCTTTTTCATAGAGCACTTTTTCCTTTAATAGGAGTAGGAGGAAATGGGAGAGGTGACATTAAAAGACACCTTAATTTCACTGGAATCACTTAATCCCACTTTCTAGTTCTACCATCTTGTCCACTTAAGGAAAAGTTGAAGTTCAAAGGTTTTAACCTTTGTGCCTGGACCCAAATAGGCACAAAACTATGCATTTCTTCACATGTTGGTTTCTGGAATAATCATGACTTAAGTTTTGATTTGTTAAGAGAGGGTCTCCATCTAGTCCAGGGTGGTCTCAAATTCCCTACATAGGCGAAAATGACCTTGAACTTCTCATCCTTCTGCCTCCACCTCCCTCCCAAGTACTAGGATCACCGGTGTGCACCACCACTAAGCTGATAATCTACTTTTAGGGATATTAAGTGCTTCAAATTTGATCACTATAAATATATGTGCCACAACTATAGACTGTTGGTTAATAGAATTTTAAGATGCCTGTGTTTTATGGTTTTTTTCTTACCCTGTTTATCAATATATTGCTACATAGAGAAGCAGAATTTAATATTTGGGTAGGCTTTAAAAAATCTCACACTTAGACAACTTGGACAATTAGCGCCAGGTCTTCATGGCATGTTTACAAAAGAAACCCCAGACATTTCCAAATCAGATGCCCCAAGAGCTATGCAGGTGACTGAGGCTGCCAGCTTACAAGGCATAGTAGAATGGCCCGGACTGCAGCAAATGAGTATGCACCATCTAATGGGGAAGTCATGTTGCTACCTCCCCCCCACTTTTCAATTCTAGAGATTCTGACCCAGGGCTGTGTGCATGCTGGGCTCCCTACTGATCTATAGCTAATGGGACATCGCTTCAGCAACCAGGATTTGGGCTTCCCATGCCAACCTCTCCCCTAGCTGTGATTACAAGCATATGCCGCTAGCACCCCCAACCTCTCCCCTAGCTGTGATTACAAGCATATGCCACTAGCACCCCCAATTTGCCTTGCCTCATCTTACTTTCAAGAGAAGTCAGAAACCTGGATTTTTGTGTATATTGAACTAGCTTTGAAAACATCGCTATTATTAAGTTGTATAAGGGGCTAGCAAGATGACTCCGTGAGTAGAGATGCCTGCCTCCAAGCCTGAGGATCTGAGTTCTAGCCCTGGGAGCTACGTGCTGGAAGAAGAGAACAAGCCCCTCGAGTTATCCTCCGACCTCACATAAGCCACATGCACACACCACGCTAAAGATGTATTCAGTTGAATAATGTGGATTCTCTTCTTTGTAGATTTAGAAGCTCTAAAATAGTGGATATTTCATATTTCTATAATGCTCCAACATTGTGCATTCTGAATAAAACACATCTGGCCTGGGGGTGCAGTTCAGCAGATTGCTTGCCTTACATTCGTGAGGCCTTGGGTTCTGTCCCCAGCACCACAAAGTAAAACAAACAACAACAACAACAACAAAACAAACATGTCTTCATGTGACTACGAACCTTGGATCCAGGTAACCCTCCCCTGAGTGCTTAAACTGATAATTGAGAGTTACTAATTCTATTTTCTGTTCTTTCATCACTTTTTAGTCCGACACTGGGGAGGTAATCAAAACTGAGATTGTTTTGTATCAAGAGAATAATAGTTTCTCGCTTTTGTTAAATACCCACTGTGTGACAAGTGCCAGGTGAAAAACTTAGAATAAGTCAGAGATGGCCCAGTCGGGTCAAACACCTGTGGCCAAGCCTGACAGCCCGCGTTCAGTCCCCAGGGCAAACAAGGCAGGAGAGCTGACTGCTTCGTGCTATTGTTCGATCTCCACATCTGTGCCCAACACATACACCCATGCAGAGAGTAAATGTCATTTTTAAAAGCTTCACATTTATCATCTTATTTAGTTTTTGTCATCCCGTATGCCTTAATTAGGGTTAACACTGCTGTGATGAAATACAAAAGCAACTGAGGGAGAAAAGGGCTTATTTAGTGTATACATCCACATCACACAATTCATCATCAAAGGGTGCCAAGGCAGGAGCCCAAACAGGGCAGGAGCCTAGGGTAGGAACTGATGCAGAGATCATGAGGAGGTTGCTGCTTACTGACCTGCTGCACAGGGCTCCCTCAGCCTTCTTAGAGAATCCAGGACTACAAGCCCAGGAGTGGCTCCACCCACAATGGACTGGGCCCTCCCACATCAATCACTAATTTAGAAAATGCCCTACAGTCTTCCCACAGCTTGATCTTATAGAGGCATTTTCTCAGTTGAGGCTTCCTCCACTCTAGCTTGTTCAGGCTGACATACTGCAAGCCAGTACACTGTGTGTATGTTTACATTTTATTTCAGATTTTAGAGACAGAGTTTCTCTATGAGGCCAAGAGAAGGCACGAGGAGCAGAGGCCCACACATCTGCATACTCAGTAATCCCAGAAAGTACTAAAACAAAAGTCATAATAGATATGCAAAGGACGTGTAGGGTAAAAGAGAGGAAAAATATACAAAGAAAATATAAATAATAAATTATTTTAAATGAAGAGATGTGACATGACATCATGAGACAAGGGACATCCAGAGATGCTACTGAGTTCATTTTCTGCTGGCATCTACTCCTGGGCATGCAGCCGACCAGTGAGAGTAGTTTATTTCCCCAGTGAGACTCCTTTGGAGGAAATGGAATTTTCATTTGCAAGTGATCATCAAATTGGAGATTGCTCTGGGTTAGGAATGGGGTCCTGTGTCCACGTCTCCTCAGTCCTTGGACCCCAAACTGATGCAGACCAGTGCCAGGCTCCGTGCGTGCTGTGTCTTCATTCTCTGTGAATTCGCAAGTGTCTCTACGGTAAGATGGAGTCCTTTGGGTGTATGCCCAGAGTGCTACAGCTAGATCTTGACATAGGTCGATTCTCAGCTTCCATCTCCATAGCGGCTGCACTAGTTTGCATTCCAATCCGCAGTGACTAAGAGCTCCCTTTCTGTGACTCTTCTCCAGCATCTGGGGTCATTTTTTTTAAGCTTGGCCATTTTGACTGGTGTAATATGAAATCTCAAAGCTATTTTAATTTGCAGTTTCCTGATGGCTAGGGATGCTGAACATTCCTTAAACTGCTTCTCGGCCATTTGTGTTTCATCTTTTGACTAATCTCTGTTTAGTTCTGTACCCCATTTTTTAATTGTGTTATTTGTTTTCTTGGTGTTTAAGGTCTTTTTATTCCTTTGTATATTATATATAGTTGACAAATCTTTTTCCCATTCTGTAGGCTGCTCTTCCCTGGAATGATGGTGTCCTTTGCTGTACAGAAGTTGCTTTGTGTAATGAGGTCCCGTTTGTCAGTTATTGGTACTAATGCCTGCTATGTGGATCCCTTTTCAGAAAATTCCTTCCTGTTCCTATAAGAGCTATTATATTACAATTCTCTCCTCCATCAATTCAGGGTGTCAGGTCTTCTGCTGAGACCCTTGGTCCATTTTGAGTTGAGTGTTGCACAGGGTAAGAGATACGGGTCTAGTTTCATTCTTCCACTCAGTAACTTCCATTCACTTTCATTCAATCCAGCTTGACCGGCACCATTTGTTGAAGGTGTTGTCTGTTCTTCAGTGTGTATTTTTGGCCTCCTTGTCAAAACTCAGGTGTTTATAGGTGGATGACTTAATTTCTGGGTTCTTGTTTTCAGGAAAAGGCATTCCATGTGCAATCCTGACAACCTGAGTTTGATCCCCAGATTCCACCACTGGTACTGATATTCCATCACTGTTACTGATAACAACTCCTTCCATTCACCGGGACCAGAAGCTGTGCAGTCACTTCTGCATTGTTTTTAAAGCTCTCTTCTTTCTTCAGGACCATGCATGCTTAGAACTTAAGGCTGAGCCTCTGTGAGCTCTCTCAGGCTGTGTGTGACAGTGATTGATGACAGACAGGTGTGTGATTCCATCTCCATTACTTGCTAGCTCAGTGACATTATAGACAGACTAATCTGTGTGTAAACAGCCAGAGTTGTGGGAATTAAGTCATATTCAGACAAACAGCTTCTTGTGTATGTAATTGTCAGCTAGCACAACTAGATGTGTGCCTCCAGTTAAATTGTCGCTCCACAAAGAGAAATAATGCTGTTGTCAAGGTTCAAAGGAAATGCCAATTCTCCAAACTCCAAAAAGCAGTTCAAAAACCCAGAAATGAGCTCAACATGGACGATAGGAGGAGTTCCCCATTCACAGATTCCCTCCAGCTCACAGGTTTCCCTCCTCCAAAGCTCCTCACTTTCCTTATAACCCTGCTATTCCTATTATGTTCTCTCTAGACTCTCTTCCTCTCGCTCTTTTCTCTACTCCCTATCCCCTGCTATTCTCCCCTCTCTCACAGATAGTCCTGGTCATGTCCATCCTGCTGGTCATTGATGTGGGAAGGTCTTCTGTCTATGTGTTACTTTCATTGGTTAATAAAGAAACTGCCTTGGCCCTTTGATAGGACAGCAGCTTAGATAGGTGGAGTAGACAGAACAGGATGCTGGGTAGAAGGCAGTGAGGCAGTCGCCATGAAGCTCTGGCCCAAGATGGACATAGGTTAGAATCTTCCCGGTAAGCCACCACCTTGTGGTGCTACATACATTAATAGAAATGGGTTAATCAAGATATGAGAGTTAGCCAAGAAGAGGCTAGATATAATGGGCCAGGCAGTGTTTAAAAGAATACAGTTTGTGTGTTGTTATTTCGGGTGTAAAGCTAACCATGCGGGAGCTGGGCAGGACAAAAAGCAGGCCTTCTTGCCTCTTCACTACAGGTCATGTCCACTCTACTTCTCTCTCTCTCTGCTCTGGACTCCTTCAGATGCCTCTGACTTCTCTCTCTCTCTCTCTCTCTCTCTCTGTCTCTCTCTGCTTTTTCTTAAGTAAGCCCTGTACCTATAATGGTAGAAGACATACAGAAGGTTCAAAATATCATTAGCTATAAGAATAAAGTAGTTAACTTTGCTTTATGGTATACGGAAAGAACACACTTTTTTTTGTTGTTGTTAAAGTCCAAGAAATAATTCTGAGACTGCTTTAGGTTCTAATTTCTTGCTTTCTGAAAACAAAATTCAAATAAACATGAAGTTATAGTGAGACAAGAATGCATTCTTAAATGAACATCAAGTCTTGTGATGGAAGTAATTTTCAAGAGTGGACGTGCTGGGCCAGGCCTTTTGAAATTAAGTTAACAACCACATAAAATGTTTTTAAAAATACAGACTCCCAGGTCCCCCATCCAGACTTCCTGGATTAGGGTCTCCAAGAAAGAAAGGACTCAGAGGAGATTTTTTTTTTCCTTTTAAAGCCTTGGGTGAAACTAGGCTTGATGGTGCAACCTGCAGTCCTAGCACTTGGGGACCTAAGGCAGAAGGACTGTTAGTTCAAGGCCAGCCTGGTCATATAGCAAGGCTTGGTTTCCCCACCTGCAAAGAGAAAGAAATGTGAGTAACTGTTATAAGAGACGGCTGTAGATATGGAAGTTTAGACAATATACTTTCATTTTCCTCTTTTTTTTTTTTTTTTACTTTTATTTGTGTGTGGGCCTCTCTCTGTGTTCTATTCCTCCTCTTCTCTCTCCATGCTTAAAGAGTAAAAGACAACTTGCAGGAGATGATTCTCTTTCCACCATGTGGGCTTAAGGTTTTGAACTCTGGTCTTTAGGCTGAGCTACTCAGCCTTTACCCAGTGAGCTGGGCCCTCTCACTGGCTGGACGATACGCTTTGTTTTGAAAGTTTCAGTTGGATTTCTGTAGGCCAAGTGTTATTCAGCCTATTTATATTTACTTGCCTTGTTTCTGTACCGCTCCAGGCCCGAGGACCTACGCCGAGAGTTTGGTCGGTACGGCCCCATAGTGGACGTTTACATCCCGCTTGACTTCTACACTCGCCGCCCCCGAGGGTTCGCCTATGTTCAATATCCTCTACTGTACGTGCACATGCAAACATGCTTCATAGTGTGCTTATCCACATACGTGTTTAGGGATGGATGTTATAAGATCAACATTGTCTTATTAAATGTATTTTTTCTTTATCTCAGAAACTCTACAACAGTCTGCAGTAGCTGGACAGTGCCTCCACCCCCAGTCCCCCATCGCCTTACCACCCTCTCCGAGCTCCCCTTCCCCCAGTCTGGACCAGCTTGTTAGCTAGACTCCAACCATAAGCGATGGGAGAGACTGGTAGCCAGCGTCCCCTTTGATATGTTAATAGGCGCTTCAGGTAGCCATTTGTGCCAGGTTTCTTTGAGACCTCTATGGTTTCCTGTTACTTTATACTTACAACTAACTAGTAGCACATAGGGGACTGTTGAAAGTAGTAGGTTCAGAGGTGGGCACCACCCTCAAAGAGCCAAGGTCATCTTTTGTCTTAGCTTGCTTTTATTATTGCAGTTCTGTTTATAATGAGTCATTTCTCTTACATTTCATAACTAGACTTTTAGCGATAGAGGACTTTTACTTGCAGAATAAAAGCTCTGCGTGCTGATATTTCCACTGAAAACCTGATAAATCCTTTCTCTGAAAAGGGGGTTAAGCCCTAAACAGTTTATTTTATTTCCTGATTTTATAATGCCAGCAAATTTGAGATTAATTTCTTTCCTCACATTTCAAATTATGCTGCTAATTGTATCTGCTATTCTGTTCTTTTGTTCATGCTTCTAAATCACAAGAGTGCATCTGTTTTCATAATAAAACAGAAAAGCTTTTCTGGTTATTCATATTGGAGCCAGAACTTGGTTTTATTGTCGATTGAATTTCACATGTAAATAATACCCAGAAACAGTTTCGTTTACTGTCTGATGTCCAAAGTGTCCTTAACAGCAGCTCATGTTTGAAGATGTTCGAGATGCTGAAGACGCACTCTATAACCTCAATAGGAAGTGGGTCTGTGGCCGGCAAATCGAGATACAGTTTGCCCAAGGTGATCGCAAAAGTAAGTGTAAAGGACCCTTAGCTCTCCATGACAGAGCCAAGCTGTTACTGTTTCCGAGTGTCAGCAACAGTAGTGTGTCACTTAAAGGTCTTCAGAATAAGGTCCCGACCGAGCGGCAGGGACTGTGGTTTTCAGGGGTAAACTGTTAGGAACCTTGTTCTTCATGTTCTAGCACCTGGGCAAATGAAGTCGAAGGAACGCCACCTGTGCTCGCCGAGTGACCACAGGAGATCCAGAAGCCCCAGCCAGAGGAGGTCTCGAAGTCGAAGTTCATCGTGGGGCAGAGACCGGAGGCGCTCAGACAGCCTGAAAGAGTGAGCACTGAGAGCTACAGCACACAGCTTCATTCTTCCCTTTTTCTAGGAAATATTTTAAAGAATTACTAGGGCGGGTGGGGGAGGGAGGTACTTAGACAATGATTTTGTTTAATATGGACAAACAAATTTCTGTAGAAAGACATGCTCTTCCCTATCACATATGGGTTCTGTTTGTTTTCCTGGGCTGTGGGGTTGAACTCAGGACCTGGCAGATGCTCGCAGGTGCTCTGCTGGACCTCTACACTGGCTCTGAGGCTGTATTCCCAGCACTCCCTGATTTGTAGACTCTTTAGCTTTAGGCAGGGTCTTGTTATTGTTGTTTTGGTTGTTTGTATTATAGGTACATGCTTATGGATGTGTGTGCACTGTGTGCATGTGCGTATGCATGCACGTTAGAGGCTTATTACCAAGTGTCTATTTATTTATTTATCTTTTTAGTTTTTGAGACAGGGTTTCTCTGTGTTGCTTTGGAACTTGTTCTGGAACTTGCTCTATAGACCAGGCTGGCCTTGAACTCACAGAGATCCCCCTGCCTTTGCCTCCCACGTGCTGGGATTAAAGGGATATGCCACCACTACCTGGCTCAGGTGTCTTTCTTGATCACTCTCTACCTTGGTTTTTGGTAACAGGGTCTATCACTTAACCTGAAGCTCATGCTTCAGGCTAGACTGCCTGTCCAGTGAACTGAAGTCCACCTCTCTCTACCCCATTACACCCCCCATTGCTGGGTTCACAGATGTGCACCAGTGCCTCCAAACTGTTTAAAGATGCTATATAATCCAAGCTTTTTGTCCCTTAAGTCCCAGCCAGTTCAGTAGCTTTGAACTCTGAGGCTTCTGGGCTCAACTTTTGCTTATGTTGATCACTCTCTCATGCTTTCAGAGGGTGGCTTTGCTTTTCTTTTCATAGAGAGCATTGCTGTGCAGCCAAGGCTGGTCTGGAACTTGAGATCCTTCTGCCTTGGTCTCTTGGAATGCTGTCACAATAGGCATTTCCCATCATGCTAACTCATACAGCAGTTTTTGCTTTTACAAGCATTATTTGTAAACTTTTAATGATTGTTTCCTTTCTTTCCTTATTTATAAGGTTTTTCTTCTTCCAATTTTTATGCCTGTTAACAGTTGTTTAACCCAGCAGGGTGTTGCGTGCATGTCTGTAATTCCAGCACTTGGGAGGTTGAACAGGATAATACAGGACTTTTTTGTAGAACTAAGGCATATGATATAGCGTCACAAGGTAAAAATGTTTTGAGCATATTTTCTAGTATAACAGATATTACAGACTTGTTATGTATGTTTGAGTCAAAAGCATGAATGATAAAATTAGAATTATTTCTTTTAGGCTAGAGGTGTAGTTTGGTGGTAGAGTATTTGCCGAGCAAACACAAGGCCCCAGGTTCTAGGCCAAGTGCTGCCAAAAAAAAAAAGTGTCTTGTCATTAATCTATTAAAACATAATGAACATAATGTATTAATCAGACTTCCCATCATGATGACAAACACTCCAAAGAAGAACTTAAGAAGGAAAGATTTATCTTGCTCAGAGTTTCAGAGGGTCCAGCCCATGGGAGGCTAGATCCATTGCCGTGGGCCTGATGTGAGGCAGACTATTGTACCCAGTGACCTTATCATGCAGGTTGCTCAATTCATGGCAAACAGTAAGGGGGGGGGGATAGAACAGGTGATAAGAAACAGCTGTTGCCAGGCAGTAGCACAACACGCCTTTAATACCAGCACTTGGGAGGCAAAGGCAGGTGGATCCTTGAGTTTAAGACCAGTCTGGTCTACAAAGCAAGTTCTCAGACAGCCAGGACTACACCGAGAAACCCTGTTTCAAAAGACAGACAGACGGGGGGGGGGGGGGGGGGGAGAAAGCAAGCAAGCAGGCTTTGAAAGCACCCCTGGGGATCCACTACTTCGTCTCCCCTCCTACCTCACACCTCCTGATGACTCCATACACTGTGAGTCCATCAGGGACCAACCCAGTGATTAGGTCAGATCCCTCAGAATCTAGTCACACACCCAAAGCCTACTGGCTGGCAATCAGGCCCCTAATACTTGAGTCTGGGGAGGATTTTTTTTCTTTTTATCCATATGGGTCTTTTACTTGTATGTATGTCTGTGCCTCACATTTATGCAATGCTTTCAGTGTTCAGAAGGTGCCAGATCCCCTGGAACTAAAGTTACAGACAGTTGTGTGTGACTGACCACATGAGTGCTAGGACTCAAATCCAGATTCTCTGGAAGAACAGCAAATGCTTTTAACCCCTGAGTCACTCTGACAGCCCCGTGGGGGTGTATTTCCTATTCGAACCATAGCACTATGAAGCCCATCAGAAAGTGCTGTCTCTCAGCCTGTTGTCTTGTATAAAGTACACGCTCTAATGTTACACATGCTTTCAGGTCTCGACACAGGCGATCTTCCTACAGTCAGTCTAAATCCCGCTCCAAATCACTACCAAGGCAGTCTACCTCAGCAAGGCAGTCGAGAACACCGAGAAGGAATTCTGGATCTAGAGGCCGGTCAAGATCCAAGTCCTTACCGAAAAGGTCCAAGTCAATAGAAAAATCAGAGTCACGCTCACCCCCAAAGCAGACTGGCTCAGGAGCAAAATCCAGACCACATGGACGGCACTGTGATTCCTTCGCAAGATCTCCATGCAAGTCTCCCAGAGGGTACACCAGCTCCGGAACCAAGACACAGACAGCAAAGCATTCTCACTTTCCGTCGCATTCCAGATCACGGGGTTACCACCATAAAAACAGTTGGTGAACAGCCGCTTCCGGAAGAGCCACCACGCTCTGCTATGAGTTATTAGACCTCGTTGTGGTTAAAATTCCTCAAGGCTTACAGAAGTGGGAACTGGTGTTAGTTACCTTGGCCATGTGGGGGGAATACCATCGCCCTAGCTTTGACTAATAAGTATTTGATCTTAATTTAAGGGCTCACCCACAAGTCACCATGGCCAGCGTAGGCTGTACTTGGTTCACGCTGTAGCAAGCAGGTACTTCCCAAAGGAAAGAGGCAAGACCCAGTATAAAAATTCTACTTAGATATGAAATACTATCAATAATATTCCTTACAAAAGTATTTTTTACTCTGAAACACTTTTCACATAAAAAGTAATCGTGATTCTATGTAATTGCATAGGCCAGACTTAAACTGTTTGACACCTGTGTCTTTCTTGTGACTTCTGTTTAAGCTTGGGCCAATTCTTGGTAGGCATTAATTAGTTCAAATTACAGCATTCTGAAATCTCAAAAGAAAAAACATCTATATAGATTCTGCAGCGGTTCAAAAAATAGTTAAAAGATGTTTAAAAGATAAAGAACCTTTCATTGTTTTTGAATACAGCAGCATAGACCAGTTGGCATGAAATGATATCCATGTTTGCTGAAAATACGAAAACAAAGCTGGGTATGGTGGCACATGCCTGCAATCCCAGCGCTTGGGAGATGAGGTCAGAGGGTCAACCCACCATGGACTGGGCTACACGAGACCCTGTCTAGAAATAAATAAACAGATGCTTTTTAAAAAGGCGAAACCATTTTAGAAGTACTAGATTTTAAATGCTTTACGACTACTCTAAAAACTATGGTGTGGAACACTCAGAACCCACAAATACTCATATTAAGCCTTACATAGTTGAAGAACAGTACATTTTGTATAAATTCACATTTATACCATTATTTCTATATAGCTATTTTCATCTGCATTTTTCTTTTTAGAGCTCTAGTTCAATATCCTAATTATATACAAAGTCTTTTTAAAGAAAAGAATTAAACACATAGTACATTATATTAAGAAATGCTAGCCAATGAGATGGCTCGGTGAGTAAATCCACTCACCATCCACACCTGGCCACCCGAGTGCAAGCTGGGCAACTTGAGTTCAGTTCCTGAACCCACTCAGAAGTGGAAGAGAACTGGCTCCTGCAAATTGTCTCCGACTTCCACACTGTGCAATGGCCTGTGTGTGTGTGCGCGCACACACACACACACACACACACATAAATGTATGCAAAAACTTTAAGTTCAAAACTATACCTTCAAACCAGACATGTAGTACACATACATGCCTGCCATCCTAGGACTCGGGAAGCCGAGGCAGGGCCGAGGCAGGAACTTGAGACCAGCCTGGGAAACACTGAGATCCATCACACACACACACACACACACACACACACACACACACACACACACACAAAGAAAAAGGTCTTCATAAAAACAGCTTCTAGGTGAGGCATTTGACTTTTACATTATGCTACGCTACATCTTAAAAACCAAATAACTTTGTTGACAGTTACTGCTTTTGTAGTTGTTATTACTTAGAATTTCTTTTACCATGTCATTGAGGTTTACATTTCAGAGGGTTTTGCAGATTTGTGATAGAATGGTTTGCATCTGATTGTCATAGGAGATATGTTTACAGATTAGCTTTGTTGAATCACATTGCTGAAACACACTGTCAGCCCTTACAGCTAATATGTATGCCTGGAATACCTAAGAAACCTGTCTTACATTTTCAGTATTTGGAGCTATGTTGCTTCTATTAATTTCCAATATAGAGTTCCATAGTCTTTGCATTTTAAATCCTTTATGTGAGAAAAACTTCACAAAATAATTTGTACATTGGTGATACTTGGAGAAGTAATGCAAATTAATGTATATTATACTCTCTGGATATATTTTGTCTATTTAACCATAGCAACATTTATTTATTTCCAAACTTCACTCTGATGTTCCTCTGTAATAAAGCGATTATAAAAGCCTGAGAGACTGTTGGAAGCTTGAGGAGTTTGAAGTTATCCTGGCCCGTGCGTACGTATACGCTGCTCTTCAATAGTGGCACATGTAAAGCCTTGGCTTCCTCAATCCCAGCACTGCAGGAGTGGGAGCAGGGAACCGAGGAACTCACTGTACTTCTACATTGTCTTTACCCTCACAGATCCATTTATCAAGGGACCATTACCTCAAGGGTGCATGACTTTTCTTGGGGAAACTTGAGCAAACTTGTAGTCACCCTAGAAAGGTTACTAACAACAGTCCATCCCAGTCTCGGTTGGCGAGCTGCTGAGGAGAAGTAGGCTTACAGGCTGTGGAAGAAAAGCCTCCCCTAGCAACTGTTTCTGTGTCCTATAGGCTGTCTCATGAGCTTCCTCCCCTTTCTCCAGGGAGTGTTAGTGAGCCCAGCCTTATGAGGGTCCTCTGAAGTTACCATGCCTGCTCTGATTTCCACCTGGCAATGGCCATGTCATGCCCAGAAAACAACATTCTGTAACACTTAGGAAAAAGTTAATACAATCCTGAACATGCTTAAATTTTCCACTTATGTTTGACTTGGTTTTTCAGTAAAATACTGTTAATCCCAAAGATCCAAGGAGAAAGGTCAGGTCATTGACCCGAATCATCATGGCCAAATTAATTAAAGCAAGCTTTTTTTATTCATGTACACAGGCTGTCTCCCACCAAAGTCGAGGTTCAAGAGATGAGCACTGGATATGAAGCAGAGAAGGATTTTATAGCTCGGAGGTAGGGGCTTCCAAATGGGTGATTTGACAGGTAATAGGTGGGGTTAGAGACGCAGAACATAAGCATAATGAGTTAGTCATAATGACCTCCTGAAAAAAATACATGGTTGCAAGGTGGTCATAACAAGGGTGTCATAACCACAGGTTTGTCATAGGTGGTCATATAACCTCTCGAAACAAAAGCATGGTTGTCATTTCCTGCAACAGGCAGTTCAGAACCATTTGTAGCTAAGGTTACAAGAGGGGCAGAATCCAATCCTTGAGAAACAGAGGTTTAATCATAAACAGGAATAAACTTAGTTTGTCTTTACTATAAAATGGCTTTTAAGCCCAAGATGGAGACTGGCTGGTTCATCAGTCCCTAGTGCTGATGAGGACAGTGTTCAGTTTGAATGAAATGTGGCTTAAATTTTTTTTATTTAAAATTTTTACTATATGTATGGGTGCTTTGCCTGCATGTATGTCTGTGCATTGCATGTGTGCCAGGTGCCCCAGGGAGGCCAGAATAGGGCATCAAATCCCTGGGACTGGAGTTATATATGGTTGTGGGTCACCATGTGGGTGCTGGGAATTGAACCTAAGCTCCCAAGAAGCGCATTTCAGTGCTGATAACCATCTCTCTAGCCTCAATTAGATTTTTTTTTTAAGAGCTAGGATTTGTTTTGGCTCACAGTTCAATACACAATCCATGATAGTGGGAAAATCGTATCGGCAGATACAGAAAGCAACGGATAAATGCGTGTGCTCAGTTTCTCCTTTTTATTAGACTCTGAAACCCAAGCCCAGGGGATGGCCCCACCCACCCTTCCTGTTGGTCTTGGTCTTAGTTAGGGCTACTACTGCTGTGATGAAACACCATGACCAAGGCAGCTTTTTATTTCTGGCATGGGGGGCAGGGGTGGTTTTATGAAAAAGGACTACTTTCTGTAACCCTGGCTGTCCTGGGACTCATTCTGTAGACCAGGCTGGCCTTGAATTTGGAAAACCAACTGCCTCTGCCTCCCAAGTGCTGGAATTAAAGGCGTGTGATAACACTGTCCAGTTAAGGCAACTTTTTTTTTTTTTTCATTTTTAAGACAGGGTTTCTCTCTGTGTAACAGTCCTAACTGTCCTGGAACTCACTTTGTAGACCAGGCTGGCCTCAAACTTAACAGAGATCCACCGGCCTCTGCATCCCAAGTGTTGGGATTAAAGGTGTGTGCCACCACACCTGGCCAAGGCAACTTTGTAAAAAATAGATTTAATTGGGGGCTTGCTCATGGCAGAGTGTGTGGTGGCAGGCAGGGCATTGCTGTGAGCTCACATCTGATCTAAAAGTTGTAGGCAGAGTGTATATGTCTCCCAGGGGGAGACTGGGCCTTACGTGGACTTTTTTGTTTTACGTTTTTGTTTTTTTTTTTTTTTTTTTTTTTTTGGTTTCGTTTTTCAAGACAGGATTTCTCTGTAGCTTTGGAGCCTGTCCTGGAACTAACTCTTGCAGACCAGGCTGGCCTCAAACTCACAGAGATCAGCCTATCTCTCTCTCTCCCAAGTGCCACCACTGCCTGGCTTTGGTTTGGACTTTTGAAATCTTAAGGCTCATCTATAGTGACACAAATCCAAAGTTGGGGAGGCAAGGGTTTATTCAGCTTACACTTCCACATTGCTGTCATCACCAAAGGAAGTCAGGACAGGAACTCAAAAACAGGGCTAACCCTGCAGGCAGGCCTGATACAGGGGACATGAAGGGGTGCTGCTTACTGGCTTGCTTACGTGACTTGTTCCGTCTTCTTTCTTACAGTACCCAGAACCACCAGCCCAGGGAGGGCACCACTCATAGTGAGTTATGTCCTCCCCATCGATCACTAATTGAGAAAATGCCTTACAGCTGGATCTCATAGAGGCATTTCCTCAACTGAGGCTCCTCCCCCTCTGATGACTCTAGCTTGTGTAAACCGACCAGTACAGCCACACCTCCTAATCCTTCTGAAATAGTCCACCAGGTGGGAACCAAATTTTCAAATATGTGAGACTTTGGGGGCCATTCTCATTCAAACCACTCCCTAACCCCTGTAGGCTCTTGCCATATCATAAAGCAAAAATGCATTTAGTTCAACTTCAAAAGTCCCCATAGTCCTTCCTAGTCTCAACAGTGTTTATAAGTCCAAAATCTCTTCTGAGACTCAAAGCAATCTCTTAATTAGAAGCCCCTATAAAATCAAAAAGCAGATTATATACTCCCAACATAGAATATAAATTATCATTCTAAAAGGGAGGAAGGGTACATAATAAGGAAACGCTGAACCGAAGCAACACTGAAAACCACCAGGGCAAACTCAAATCCCACTTGTCCATGCCAACGTCAAAGGGATTATTAGAGGGCTATTTGTATTACCATTCCTTCCAGCTTTTCTGGCTACAACACACTTCTCTCTTGGACTGGTTCCATAGTCTTCCTGCCTCCATCTGTTCAGCATACCAGATGGGTCAAATGGAAGCTTCCAGCTACTTCTCCAGCATCATGTTTGTCTGCCTGCCACCATGATACCTGCCCCCCATTTAAATGATTTCTCTTGAAAGCTGTCTTTTAAAAGATGGTGTTTCATTGCATAATAGTAACCCTACCTAGGACAGACTACGAATAAATGACATTGTAATTGAGGGTCTTGTAGACAGAGGGGCAGATGTAACAATACTTGTATCAGAATCTTTGCTTTGAAACTGGCCTCTTCAGGAGATAAATGTTCAGCTTTTTGTTTTGTTTTGGGTTTTTTTGGGGGGGTATTGGAACTTTAACTCAGGTAAAACAAAGTGCAAGAGGTGTTGGTTGAATACATAGGGCCAGAAGCCAGAATGGAAAATTAAAATCATATGTGGCTAACATTGCAATGCATTTTTGGGGATGTAATTTGTTACAGCAATGGAAAACTCAGATTAACATTCCTCCAATCTCAGAAACAAACTATAAGCTAATGTATATTCCTGGAAAAGCATTAAAAGGTATTATAAAGAACAGTCACTGACCATTCAGTCAGCACAACATAAGCAGGGCACAACAGCTGTTGATCTTTCAAAGGTACCAACAGCCCTACCTTTAAAATGGTTAATGGACAAACCTGTATGTGTTAAGCAATGGCCTTTGACATCAGAAAAATTAGAGGCTTTAGAACAGCTGTCATAGGAGCAGCTAAATGCTCAACATATTGAAGAATTGACCAGTCCTTGGAATTCTCCTATATTTGTCATTAAATAGAAATCTGGAAAATGGATAGATAATGTTAGTGGATTTGAGAGCCATAAAGAAAGTAATTCAGCTGATGGGCTCTCTACAGCCTGGAATTCCTCTGCCTTCTCTATTACCTAAAAAATGGTCCATTATAGAGATTGACTTAAAAGACTGCTTCTTCACTACACCTTTACAAGAACAAGATGGGGGAAAGATTTGCCTTCACGGTGCCTACTAATGATAATTCTCAGCCTACTAAAAGATAGCACTGAAAT